GGATCTTAAAGAAAGATCGTCTCTGCAAATGACGGACGTTTTGAACATAAAAGCACATTTTGTTTTTGTTATTTTATAACCATTTATATATTTATAAAGTACTTTGCCAAGAATATCCGACTGAGTATTATTTTGACTCTGTCCATAAGAGCATGTTACAAATTTAACAGACAGTGAGGGAGAAAAGAATTTGATCCCCTGCTGATTTTAAACGTTTGTCCACTGACAGAGAAATGATCAGTCTATAATTTTAATGGTAGGTGTATTTTCACAGTGAGAGACAGAATAACAAAAAATACAGAAAAACGAATGTCAGAAAACTTATAAATTGATTTGCATGTCAGTGAGTGAAATAAGTATTTGATTCACTATCAGCAAGATTGCTGGCTCCCTGGTGTCTTTTATACAGGTAACAAGCTGAAATTAGGAGCACTCTCTTAAAGGGAGTGCTCCTAATCTCAGCTCATTACCTGTATAAAAGACACATGTCCACAGAAGCAATTAATCAATCAGATTCCAAACTCTCCACCATGGCCACGACCAAAGAACTGTCCAAGGGTGTCAGGGACAAGATTGTAGACCTACACAAGGCTGGAATGGGCTACAAGACCATCGGCAAGCAGCCGATTATTCGCAAATGTAAGAAACATAAAATAACAGGCATTTTTCTGGATTTGTTTTAATTTTGTCTCTCACTGTTAAAATACACCTACTATTAAAATTATAGACTGATAATTTCTTTGTCAGTGGGCAAACTTTCAAAATCAGCAGGGGATCAAATACTTTTTCCCCTCACTGTAGGATATAAACAAAATATCTAATTTGTTTTTTGTACAAAAAAAATGTGTGACACTGTGTGGAAGGTCTTCAGTAAAGTAGTAACAGAGCCTTTATCTATTAAAAAAATAAAAAACTAATTGGTTCACAATATGTAAAAAAAAAAAAAAAAACAGCCAAAGAAAAGTAAATTACTTAAATTATAATGATGTCAGGTCTTCCAGTATACACATAGAGCAGCATTCCAGAACACTTGAAAGGAACATATGTAGAGGAATAAGGTACATTAACAATAAAATGGAAATATCAGTACTAAAAAGCTAATATGTGCTTCAGTAACAGATGTTCCCAGCCGTCATCTAATCCAATACCAAATCAGACTAAGGAAAATGGATGATAAGGTATTAAAAGCATGACATATAATAAAACAAAGCTTGTAAATATTTACATTTAAAATTAAAGATCACGATCAGTCCAGTCATTAAAATATGGCAGTGCAAACATACAAAAATATATCCTCTAGGTAACATGCTGTTTGTCTCATGACAGTTTAAAACTATTCATTGAGTCATCCAACTTTGGTAGATCATACAGACCACTCCTCCATACCTCTGTTATTAAAAGGCCTATATAGATATACATAAATTGTACTTAGTGAAAATGAGATTTTGTATCTTTTTTTTTGGTCTGTTGGGTGGTTTTGTTGATGGCAGGCCTCTGAACAGGTATAATGAGAACACACTGCTAGGAGGGCAAGCATGGATCATTTGCATGATTTTTATAGTCCAAGACAAGGAGGCCAAGATTGTGCATATGACTCTGTCTTTACTCCCATAGCAGCAAAGAAAAACAAGAAAATAATAAATACAGTGCTCCACATACTACTCCTATCATGAAATCAGTACTATAAAACCTCTTCAACACTTCCTCTTTCTTTGCAATAAGGAACACAATACACAGCAGGTCAAAACCAACAGAGAAGATCAGGCCAATGAGAAGTCAGGTGAACCATCCATCGAAGGTTACACTGCTCATGGCACGTAAAATAGACAATAAACGTGGATAACAGATGGAACATTCAGCATGGAGGTCATGAAGGAACAGGTTTCTGAATAGAGCATTTCAAACTAAAAGGAAAGAGAAGAGTAGCTACGATAAGTGAGGTCATAATAACACACAGCAGAAGATACATCTGTCCAAACTAGATAATCCATACAGTCAAGGTATACAATCAAGCTAACATGTTGTCAAAGCAGAAGCACAAGTGAATCACGCAGGAGGCCAAGCACAAATGTACACATAACAGAAGCACACTGCAGCGTGCATAAGAAAAGTACAGAGTAACCCCCAAAAAATGGAGCATTACAGATCAGCCTAAAACAATGAACATCACAATATAGTATCATAATGAATGTACCATCTCCTAAGCAGAAGGAAGAGTAGGAGTGAAGAAAGGATGGAGACTGCAACAGGGAATTTTGGAAAATTTTTACTTCTGTCATGGACTAGCAAATCATGTAATTTGATTTCAAGACACAGTTTCATATTGTGCTGAGTGTTTAAAGTTGTACCAGGATAGGTAAAGAGAGATTGAGAAAGGCAGAATGGTACAAGATAAATAATTAGAAGGCAGAGGAATGACACAAGGGAGTCATGCATCATTCATACTCCTGAAGGCAAGCCACCAGGTACAGAGAAAGTTTAGCAGGAAGGCCTGGTAAGATACCAAGCACATAGACAACATCTGGAGATATTAAAAGTCTCACTCTCTGGGGTAAAGGAGCCAGCGTCCACATCAAGGACTCGACCATCTGAAACCTGCTTTCAAGATATCAGGCAAGGAAGAGTCACTTAGCAGAAAGTTGACGAAGGGAAGAGGTCCATGTTCGCAGGCCATGCATCGAGGAGAGACCGAACCACATTCACATCCCAAGTATAAGAGTCTTTCTGCCCTGGCACCCTTCATGGGGGTTTACCCGCACCCATGCTATTGAAACTGTCAGGGGCAGCAAAATAGCTGAGCAGTACAAATTAAGAGTCTGATCGAGTCATTGTCTGAAGAGTCATCGAAAAGAGACGTTAGGAAATCCAAGATTAGTTTCACAGAGGCTGAAACAGGCATCCTTGCCAGGCACCAATCAACCCCAAAATGCCTGGCTTAGTGGCCAGATTTGTGAGTTGCAGGTGCCCATGAACTTGCTGAGTCCAAACTCCCGGGAGATTCCAAGGTCCCCAGATATCAACCATGTCATAAGGGACAACTGTCAAGAGAGAATCAGAGGATGAGGTTGACAGTCTTGATCACACAGAAGATTGGGAAAGGAGCGATATAGCCATGGAGAATCTATGGCAATTTCTAGGAAGTGTGGGAACCATGCCTGTGACTGCTAAAATGGGTCGATTAACAGTATCGTTGAGGATTATTGCTGGATCACAATTAGCGTCCTGGAAATCATGGAGAATGAAACCCATAATGATGGTGCCTAGACCAATCCTACAGGAAGCCATCAACTGCCACTGCAAATAGATCCAGGCTTGAGCTTTAAAACAGGGGGAGTCTAGTGTTCAGGTGGGATGGGTCAAAGTAAAGAAAATCCCACAAGTGCAGGAGATGCTGAAAAGTTCCTGAATCCATGGTTCAGTCGCTAGCCTAGAAATCTAGAGTTACAATCTGCCTCCACTTTGCTCAGGTCTGAAATGTATTCCAACAGTGAGATTGTGGGCCAGGAAAAATTCCAAAAAGTCCTTGGCTTGACTTGGACAAGATGACTAACTGGATACATCCCAAGTGATTTATGTATTAGGTGGCAGATACATTTTCCATCTGCAGCCTGATACAGGTATTGACTCAATTCTTTGAGAAGCTGAGGACAGCAAAAGAACCTGCTAACAGTTGCAAACTGCTTACCAGTAGAGGTTCTGGCTGTATTCCAAAGATGCCATTCCAGGCTTCTATGTTAAGCAATCACCAGTGTAGTTTATCCCTGGTGTCCACTTCAAGCACTTCTTACATGGCATTCAGCATATGACTGATCGTTTTAAATCTGTTGCACTTGTGTGACTTCATGGTAGCACACTTCCTCTTCTTGGAACTTGAATAAATATGCTCAAAAGAACGAAAAGAAAAATACTAATGGTGCAGTAAAAATCACAAATCGTGACAATAGGTAAGTATTTAATGCAAATCTCACTTGATCATCTAATAACCAACTTAGGGTGTAGCACATGTTACCAAATATGGGTTGGTAGTCCCTTTAATGAAGGATGTACCATGCAAGCAAAGAGGATATTGCTGGAAGATTGTGCAGTACAATTTATTGAACCATAAAATAAAATATGCTTACAACAAGCTAAAAACAATAGAAAGTAAAATTCCTTGAGAGCAATATAAAATCCTCTGGATCCGAGATTTTGTTAGCCGAATCTGGACTTCTTCAGTCAGAAAATGTTATTTGTTCAAGGGCATCTCTGCAACTCCGACAACTCCTTGTCTATGAGTCGGGCATGATGGAGGGAAAACACAAGGGGATGCAGCACAAAGAGTTGTACTGGTATTTCTACAAACTTGATAACATTGCACTTTTTCCAACACCCAAGCATCTGAAGTAAAAGTCAACCAGGTGTGGAAAAAAATGCATGAGTCTTCTCCCAGTATGATATAGGGAAGAAGTGTAGGGTGTCTTGTATTTTGGCATTTCACTATTATAAATGGAATTTACTCTCCTTATCAATATCAAATTTTTCACTCCAAAGCCCTAGGCAGTTGGCACCACCTGGGCATTAACATTACTGTGACTATTGTTATATATAAAAATTAAGAATAAACATTTGGGTTGTTAACTTTTTACATCTATTTGATGCTAGAGGTCAAACAATAGGCTTTTTAGTATAGGCAATCATCAAGCCGACATACCTAGAAGCAAGCGACCTGATACCAACAGAAAATGGTTTGATCAGACCATTACCAATGAAATCAGCGATGGCCTTTGGGAAGAGCTTTGAGTTGGCATCGATCCTAACTAATTGATATAGCTATCATTACGTGACTAAAACACGATTAAAATCTGACCACTGTGCCCGCCACAGAATCTGTAGTCAAATCGCTATCATTTACCAACAGTACCTCTTCAAATTTAATCATAACATTGATATCCCGCATAAAATTTTTGTATAATTCCACACATATTGGTTACTAATACATTAGAAAACTCTGGGGGCGGAGCCTAACTGCCGAGTGCTGTGAATCAGCTCCTTCACAAAGCGACATAATTGGGGGTTAAAACCCTGAAAACAGACACGCTCACAAGCTGGAGGGCACAAGACGAGTCGGGGAAACCCGGGGGGAATCGACTGAAACTACAAGCGAGATTCACACTGCCCAGGAACCCATACAAAGCACATGGGGCCTACCTGCGACCGAGCTAGGGAGAGACAGCCGCTCTCCTCGATAGTAAAGTCCCACACTAACCCCTTAGAGCACTCGCCTCCTCCCCCGCCCCTGGACCGGCAGGGGTCATCCCGGTCCTCACTCGACACATAAAGCAACCAGCTGAGCCAACAGTACAAGCATGACCCTAAAACACAAAGTTGCAGCCCCTCACAGGGCACTTACCTGCATCTGGGTCAGTCCTGTGTGCACCCCACCAAAATCCACGGCCTGGCAGTGGCTGTCAAGATGGCGCTGGAACACGGTGCTGAAAAGCATGTGAGACCTACTCTAACCTCATGGGCAGTATTTGATAAAATATGTGAAGCCTTCTGGGAGCGGCTGAAGCTCCGAGCGAACCATGCCCGCAAGCTCACAGCCACTGATCCCATGCGGAGCAGTACCTCCACGAAGTTGCCGAGGGGTCCCAAGAGGCTGCACCAGTCGGGCGGCGGAAAAGACCAACAGTACCCTCAAAAGGCCGCACAAACACCCGGCAGACCGGGAGTCATGTCGGTGAGAGATGTTGGAGCCGACTCCAGTCTCACACTGACTCCCTGGCGGTAAAGCAACATCGGCGGGACTGGTCTGGAGCACTACAGATGCCCAACAGGCAGCCTACTCGCAGTACTGGAAAGCAGTACCCACTCGCAGCACCTGGACACCAAGCCTCCAGAAGGGGCATCGGATGACTTAACTGGCACACCCAGAGACTCTCCTCCATGCAGTCTCCCCTGGGACTTACACCCCACGCAGAGAGTCACTGGAGCATACCTCCCGGTGCCGACAGCGCCACTACATCTTGTGAGATCATCATGGGAGACACCAGGTCGGACCGGGGTATTGACTACCGATTACGACATAACAGCGGTATCGGGTGAAGTTGTCTTTAATCCAGCCACCCTGCTGATCAAAGAGCAGGACTAAATGTGTGTTTGCAATATTACTACCTGCTAAATAGCCAGCAGTACAACACTATAGTCCATCTGTTTTACCAGCCTTACCAGTTTTGATCAACTCGTTACTACACACATAGTATTGCTTATTAATAAGCTGAGCAGGTCTAGCTCTAATTCAGCCCACACTAATATGCACGTGTCAAGCCCTCACATATGTTATTACTCATATGCAAGCCACTGCCATGCAATTAGATCTTCCAGGGCTGACAGCCCGCCGACAATGGGCAGGAGCTACGCAAACCCACACAGAGTCTGTAATGCAACGCTTAGCTAAAATGTGTTATATGATTGTTTTGCCTGTTTTAATATATGAAGCACTGACAGTTGGATTAGCCAGTCTCAAACCAGTTAACCAGAATTAGAGCTAGGGAGAGACAGCCGCTCTCCTCGATAGTAAAGTCCCACACTAACCCCTTAGAGCACTCGCCTCCTCCCCCGCCCCTGGACCGGCAGGGGTCATCCCGGTCCTCACTCGACACATAAAGCAACCAGCTGAGCCAACAGTACAAGCATGACCCTAAAACACAAAGTTGCAGCCCCTCACAGGGCACTTACCTGCATCTGGGTCAGTCCTGTGTGCACCCCACCAAAATCCACGGCCTGGCAGTGGCTGTCAAGATGGCGCTGGAACACGGTGCTGAAAAGCATGTGAGACCTACTCTAACCTCATGGGCAGTATTTGATAAAATATGTGAAGCCTTCTGGGAGCGGCTGAAGCTCCGAGCGAACCATGCCCGCAAGCTCACAGCCACTGATCCCATGCGGAGCAGTACCTCCACGAAGTTGCCGAGGGGTCCCAAGAGGCTGCACCAGTCGGGCGGCGGAAAAGACCAACAGTACCCTCAAAAGGCCGCACAAACACCCGGCAGACCGGGAGTCATGTCGGTGAGAGATGTTGGAGCCGACTCCAGTCTCACACTGACTCCCTGGCGGTAAAGCAACATCGGCGGGACTGGTCTGGAGCACTACAGATGCCCAACAGGCAGCCTACTCGCAGTACTGGAAAGCAGTACCCACTCGCAGCACCTGGACACCAAGCCTCCAGAAGGGGCATCGGATGACTTAACTGGCACACCCAGAGACTCTCCTCCATGCAGTCTCCCCTGGGACTTACACCCCACGCAGAGAGTCACTGGAGCATACCTCCCGGTGCCGACAGCGCCACTACATCTTGTGAGATCATCATGGGAGACACCAGGTCGGACCGGGGTATTGACTACCGATTACGACATAACAGCGGTATCGGGTGAAGTTGTCTTTAATCCAGCCACCCTGCTGATCAAAGAGCAGGACTAAATGTGTGTTTGCAATATTACTACCTGCTAAATAGCCAGCAGTACAACACTATAGTCCATCTGTTTTACCAGCCTTACCAGTTTTGATCAACTCGTTACTACACACATAGTATTGCTTATTAATAAGCTGAGCAGGTCTAGCTCTAATTCAGCCCACACTAATATGCACGTGTCAAGCCCTCACATATGTTATTACTCATATGCAAGCCACTGCCATGCAATTAGATCTTCCAGGGCTGACAGCCCGCCGACAATGGGCAGGAGCTACGCAAACCCACACAGAGTCTGTAATGCAACGCTTAGCTAAAATGTGTTATATGATTGTTTTGCCTGTTTTAATATATGAAGCACTGACAGTTGGATTAGCCAGTCTCAAACCAGTTAACCGGATAGCATTATCCAGTCTAGTCATACTGCCATGACTCACGCCACATTTAGTTACATCACAGCTACTCTTATTAATTACATACCTATCGTAATGTTTAAACGTGAACAATTTCGTCATAACTAACTAAAAATTGTGCACGTACTCATGCAAACCCCAATATTAGAAATGTTGACAATCAGCGTGAGGACTGCCGGTGGGGCACCACACGCCTGCTGTTATGTTTCTTTGCACTACAAAAATAAAGAACTATTATTATTCTAAATTGTATAGTGTATCATTGTGAATACTTGTAACATAGGATGTAACATATCATAAACTAATTGTAGCAAACTCCTTTAATAATATCATGGAAACAGTTATCTAAATAATTGATATCAAACTATCATAAGGGGTAAAGTTTAAAATACCTTATTCCCCTCCCATGTAGGAGGGTTGTATGTGCGATGACATCAGCACACAGAAAAAAAATCACCAATTAGATTCTCTTTGTTTCATTTTAGTTTATTCACCATTATAGGGCATTTCACCATTAGGGCGTCTTGTGGATTGGTAGTTTCCTCAGGAAGGCAAGGGGCCTCATGATTGCCTGAAGGAAGTGGAAGATGCCCAGACAGCAGAACAGCCCCATCCTCATCCAGCCCTGATGGAATCCCGATGGTTGAACGCACACCTCTTTGAAGACTGGGACTTCTCAAGAGCAGTAAAGGCCCCCACAAAATTACTGAAGACTTTAATAAAGGATCTCAGCATCCTTTGCTGCCTTGGTCAAGGCTTGGTTAGCTAACTTTGGCTCAATTTTAATGAGGAATGCTCTCAATCTCTCAATGACTAGTGAAGTGTTAACATTCCATGCACACACATCTTTGCACCCAGACCCTCAATATGTCATGATCAATGGGCAAATTATTGGCAAGAACAGGTTACGCCAATTCAAATACTTTGGTCATCTGCCCAAGCATGTCAAGAAATTTGTCTTGCAAGGTTCTGATACAAAGAAACAAGTTCTGCGCTCAAACTCCCATTACTCCTGGGCAGCAGCAACGACCATAGTACACATCAGCCAAAATACACATAGTAAAAACCAAAGAAAAAAGTTACCTGCGCTCTTTCCACATCCCTATGTATTTTTAAACAAAAATTGAAGTTTTTAGTTACCTCCAATGGCCATGAGAGGGTATGCCCACCTGCCAAGATTCTGAGCCATTTTGGGGTCCACAACAGTGCTCTTGCAAAGCTTACCAGGGACTAAAGGACAGGCACATTCCACTCCGAGCTTGCTCTGAGCAGCCTTTTTGAGGGGTTTGTGCACCCTGAATTGAAGATCTTGTGCCACATGGTGCACACTCCCCAGAATGAAAATGATGTCAGATGTCTGGATCAAACATCGGTTCTTTTATACTTCATTTGGTTCCTGGCTATACATAAAAGAGACAACTGCTGCTTTCCAGTGGACCTGGCACTAAAGTGTTCCATTCTACATTATCTTGAAATTGATGAAACACTTGTACAGTTAGAGCCAACTTTTAACACACTCTGAAATGTGTGAGTCTTCCAAGTTACCTTACTACCTCAAATAATGCTTAACTTGTTATACTATGATGTTGTCCTATCTCTGTGTTATATAGGTTTTATCTATTACTGCTTGCTGTGAGGTAAATACAACCATTGTGTGCGCAATTACCTTATTCTTACTTGCTATAGTGACTTGACACTTGGGTGATTTCTTTTAGCAGCACCAGGTTATATTTTTAGCGCCACCATACCTTAAGATTTTATAACAGTTTGGCCTCCATTTATGCCAATCTCTTCACATTGAGCAGTAAGAGGTGGGTATTTACACTGGGTATTACTTGGTGACTTGTCTGGTCACCTATCACAGATACATTGAAGATTTGTTTTTTGTTTGCAATAGATCTGCAGTTTGTCTTCAACAAAAGTGTATTGCATACCTTAATAGTAATGATTGGGACACACTTAACATGCCAGTCAAGTCAGGATTATCTCATTTTTCTAGCGTTGGAAATTAGCAGGGATAATGGTACTTTGAAAACCTTTAATCAATCATTTAAAGGCTATTGATGCATATCTCTATGTTCTGTTTAGTAGTGGGTATTACAGGTTGTTGCTCAACAAAATCTTGTCCGATCCACTGCTAACAGTGACACTTTCGCATGAAAACTCACTACCCTGGGGGCGTGGTCTAGTGAGCACCGTGGATAGATGCACTTGATTGAGCTCTGCAAGTCGCTGGCCTGAAACAGCATTATTAAAGCCTAATCCGGCTAACTAATAGCATCAATCAAGCCCCCAGACATGGCCAGCCAGAAACATAAGAAGCAGGCAGCAAAATCTGACCGATCCAGCTTCTTTGCGAACAGAGTATCGACTCTGAAGGCCTCAGGCCTTACAGACCCTGACCAAGATGGCGACGGCGGGAACAACAAAACGGTGCCATTACAGACATCCCCTGGGCCGCAAAACCTGCCAGTGACTCAGGACTTCCTGCAGAGCTGTCTCGAGGGAATGTCCAACAAGATACTGGCAAATATACAAGGAACCCTGAGAGAGCTCCAAAGCGATGTTCAGGAGCTAGGGCACAGAACAGCACGTATACAGCAGCACATGGAGGACCAGGTCTCAGCTCATAATGAGGTGACTGACCAGGTGCAGAGCCTACAACGACAACTGGAACTCACCCAGCGCAAGGTCATGGCCCTGGAAGACTGCTCCAGACTCCAAGATCTCCGAATCAGAGGAATACCGGAGGAGTCAATAAAAAAGAATGAATAGGAGGTCAGAAGCTATTGACCCGATAGTCAAAAGATAGACTAAATGGGATAAAAAAGAGGGGCATAACCCCATGTATTATTATAACAGAGAAGAGGATTCCTGCGTATCTGTGCGATGGAAAGAAGGGCCCAAAGTAACCCTCAGGTACCCAATTTCAATGCACAGCTGCAGGTTTTACCCATGCAGAAAAATAAGCAGCTCAAAAAATAGGTAAATAGCTAAAAGAAAAAAAACCTTTATTACGTCAACTGACATTAAAAAATAATGTTGAAAAAAACACACAATGTGAGCATAACAGTGCAAACTGTATAGGTGATTAAAAAGGGGGTCTAATGGAGCTTACTATGATAGATCCATGTACTGACTATTTCGAATAAAGTATACGTATGGAAAAATATGTTATAGATATATGTGCACCTACAGGAAAGGTAGCTTTACATATATATATATATATATATCTATTGAGGCTGGAAGTGCATCATATAAAATACATGGAACGTCAGGTACATCTATAGAGTCCCTACTCGAAAGATATAGCAATTAGGAACTGTCCCGCGTATATATTGATAAGATTGAGTAGCTGTACAGAGCAAGTAATATATGAAACAGAGTATAGTTTCCCTTAGATGTAGAACAAAAGGCTGTAATTGGGTGACTGACTACACCAAGCAAAGTATAGTAGGCAGGAGGAGAGTCAAAACACTATGTCCCTTATAGGCCCCTAGAGTCTAAAAAGCTGTATGGAGTAGTATCTGGGAATCACAAGCAGAAGGTCTAAATAGATGCAATAAAAAGGAAGTTGCCCTGTTAGATGGAAAAGACACGCAGTTCCCCAGTGAGATACTAGAATCCCTCTACAAATAGGGGAAGGGGGACTAAAAGTGGACTTCCTCAATCCTCCAGCGCTTATGTTTTGGCTTGGAAAAATATTATTAGAAAGCATAAAGTCAGTGCTGCAAATAAAGCCTCTAATAATATTTTGGAATAGCACAGGGAAGTAACGTAGTATCTGGGTAACAAGAGAGAAATGTGGTTTCCCAATTCAGACACTTTTTATTGCGCTATGGACACAGATCCTGTTTGCTGCAGGGCTGCTGACTGATTGTTTGGATTATTATGCCAGATGCATAGTCTCATTAGAGGGCATAAACTAGCAGCAACAATTAACAGTGATGTTGAAAGGACCTATGTTAGAGTGTAGCACGATCAGGTAACAAAGTATCTGGGAAAGAAACAGTTACAGTTTTCCAATTATGACACTTTGTACTGTGCTACAGAGTGAAATCCTGTCTAATATGAAGATGCTGGCTGACTAGTAAAAAATGCTAGGTCAGCTGCATAGCGTTGAGGGGACAGATATGTCTACCACATCTTGAAGCAGTGTAGATATAGCTATTAAATAGACAAATCGGTAATCCCTATAGACGGCCCAGATATCATAGGGAAAATGTTACAGCAGAGCCTATCACACAGTGATGCTGTGCAACCCAGTCTCAAAGTATCTGCGAAACAAAAAGTGAATATAGTTTCCCAATTAGACACTTAGTACTGTGCCCCAAGTACAAGCAGATCCTATCAACTGCAGGAGAACCACTGATTATCTAGTTTAGGCTGCCAAGGCAGCTGTTTGGATGAGGAACCCGGATTTGAACACACTGTGCTAATTATCCATAGCCATATACATATAGGAGTATAGTCCCCAGAGGTAGCCTAAGAGTTACAAGAAACATATGGTATAAAGCTTGTACACAAATAAATGAAGCTCCATTTAGAATCCATGTCTTAAAATAAAATGCGGCTAAAATGAGTTTCGGCGCTGTGTTGCGCCTTTTCAAAGAGCAGTACTGAGTCAGAGAGCCAGCGTGTGTTTTAAATGGTGAACGGCCGCCCCTGTGTAGACATCATGCGGCCAATCACTTCACAGCACGTCAGTTGTAGGTGTGTGTACACTACCTGCGGCCATGGGATAGGTCACTCCGTTCAAATGGGTGGTAACTAGAGGATCGTCCTCATTATGCCGTCAAGGGACCAATCCTTGACCGCCACATTAGAGGGGGCGTGGTTACGTGACTGACAGTCACAGGACTGGATCGTATCCACAGAGTAGGTGGGGACTAAATGTAGACCCAACCCTTAGTGTTCCAATTTAGTTCCGAGATAGAAGTAAATGTAACAAATGTATACATTGAGAGCAGCCAAAATATTTACAATCAATATGTTTGACATGTCATGATTCCATTTTATTCCAGAAGTTTGGTCCTAAGGGTCCTTAAGGGGTTACCCAGGGGTTGAAAATGTATCAAAAGCACAATTGCTTGGCTCAGACTAGATATTTTAAAGGTATATATCATTGAAGTGTATTTAGTGTTGTGAAGAAAGTCCAGAGGAATAGGCAAATATTAGTAAGGCAATAATGGGACTTATTTCAAAGAAACCAGCAATGTTGTCAAGTACCATTGTCTTATCATTACTGGTACATGAAGATACCCAATTGAGCTTTACCTTACCACTTCAAAATAAATTAACCTAAAAAGTTCTGTGTATAGGCAATAAGATATATACAAATATACAAATGGACATATATATATACAGAGTGGGAGGGTTATTTAACCCAAAAAGGGAGAGAAAGAGAATCCTTCATTCAGTCCTTTCGGACTTAGTGTTTTTAGTTGGTATATCCAGAAACACTCTCTCTGTCTTAAAAATGTATCATAATCACCTCTCCTTGCATTCTTTTTAACCTATTACAGGCCGCAAAAAGCGTAAACGCTTTAGGTTCTCCTCTCATCTTTGTATTAGACAGGATTTGACTCTGTAGCACAGTACAAAGTGTCATAATTGGGAAACTGTAACTGTTTCTTTCCCAGATATTTTTTTACCTGATCGTGCTACACTCTAACATAGGTCCTATCAACAGCACTGTTAATTGTTGCTGCTAGTTTATGCCCTCTAATGAGACTATGTGTAGCGGAGTAGTAAATTAATCCACAATATCTCCGCTGGTAGTCAGGATACAGCATACAACATACAGGTAGTGTAGTAATAATCCCCTTTTCCCAAGAACTAGACGACACAAAGTTTTGGAGTCAACTGAACTTTTATTCCAAGGTCACCTTATTTATACAAGTCCCCATGCAAGGGGTTTCCATACTGACATTGCAGGGGTTTTCCACGGTGGAAAACTTAACCTGCAATGTTATTTCCCATCATACATTGCTGTACTGGAGAGATAATTGTGCAAGAATATACTGTTAATTGCATTATCTTTCCGTACAGCTAAATTCACCCTTTTACACAAAAATACATAACTCGTATAATGTTACTAGGAATTAGCCGAATAACCCTTCATTGAATAGCTGAGATGTGAGCGCACCATCTGGTGAAATACCGCTCAGATCCATTCACTAGAAAAGGGAAGCCATTCGAATGAAGGTTCATACGAACACACATGGTAAGGATACAATAGACAGGTGGCGATATTTTGTTGAACGCTATCTGATTTGTACGAATGAATATTTTATACGAAAGACATGGAAGTCCAGCGGTGTTCGTGAAGTCGAATAGCCGATTTTAGTTCCAGGCACTCGACGACCAAACACCGCTGGGCTTTCGTGGACAAAAGATGACCGCCGCCACGTATTCGGTTATACGGACGGCGGCCACCCATAAAACTATTAGCAGTATGCGGATACAATGTTGCCAGTTTGCTAATGGGAGACACACGACTCCCTTGTGTGGTATCCCATTCAGTAGTTTTATTTGTTTCACGAACAGATTATCCCATACTGTTCGTGAAACTAGTATATGAATGCTCGCGGTTTCATGCCGCTAGCATATGAATACTCTCAGTCTCAGCCATAAAGGAAATAAACAAAATTAACACATTTTTTTAACACTTAGTGTCCAGAAGTGGCTGGTTTTGCCACACTATGAATCTGACATAGTAATCCAATCAGTCAGTCAGCAGCCCTGCAGCAAACAGGATCTGTGTCCATAGCGCAATAAAAAGTGTCTGAATTGGGAAACCACATTTATCTCTTGTTACCCAGATACTACATTACTTCCCTGTGCTATTCCAAAATATTATTAGAGGCTTTATTTGCAGCACTGACTTTATGCTTTCTAATAATATTTTTCCAAGTCACAACATAAGCGCTGGAGGATTGAGGAAGTCCACTTTTAGTCCCCCTTCCCCCTATATGTAGAGGGATTCTAGTATCTCACTGGGGTAACTGCGTGTCTTTTCCATCTAACAGGGCAACTACCTTTTTATTGCATCTATTTAGACCTTTTCCTTGTGATTCCCAGATACTACTCCATACAGCTTTTTAGACTCTAGGGGCCTACTATACTTTGTTTGGTGTAGTCAGTCACCCAATTACAGCCTTTGTTCTACATCTAATGGAAACTCTTCTCTGTTTCATATATTACTTGCTCTGTACAGCTACTCAATCTTATCAATATATACGCGGGACAGTGCCTAATTGCTATATCTTTCGAGTAGGGATTCTTTAGATGTACCTGACGTTCCATGTATTTTATATGATGCACTTCAATAGATATATATATGTAAAGCTACCTTTCCTGTAGGTGCACATATATCTATAACATATTTTTCCATACGTATACTTTATTCGAAATAGTTAGTACATGGATCTATCATAGTAAGCTCCATTAGACCCCCTTTTTAATCACCTATACAGTTTGCACTGTAACGCTCACATTGTGTTTTTTTTTAACATTATTTTTTAATGTCAGTTGACGTAATAAAGGTTTTTTCTTTCTTTTCTGGCTATTTACCTATTTTTTGAGCTTCTAATTTTTCTGCATTGGTAAAACCTGCGGCTGTGCGTTGAAATTAGGAACCGGGGGTTACTTTGGGCCCTTCTTTCCATCACACAGATAAGCAGGAATACCGGAGGAGGTAAAGCAGCTAGAACAACAAGATGGGATATTTTAGAATGCTGGTACCGGCCTTACCCGCAGATGTCCTCTTGTTG